TAACGATAGTCTTCCAGAAGGAATTTTTGACAACCTTTCGAAGCTGACACTTCTTTGAGTAAAATGAACAAAAGAAAATGTTATGAAAAGAGGTAATCAGAACTTTCTAAAACCCCAACTGTCAAAGCTGTGCGCCATATATCAGTTAACTGAGACGTGCTAAAATTGAGAGGTCTGACAAATGTTTATAAATCAAAATTTCCAAATTTTAATTCCTTGTTACAGACACACCATGGTTTTGTTTTTTTTTTATAAGTTTTAAACCCAAGCTCATTAATTAAAGAGCTAGAAAACTATAACGAAAGTAATATAGGATCAAGGAAGACCAATTACTCGAGGATCTTTCCTCGTGATGATGATTAGCAAAAATTAAGGATAAAAAAATAAGCGTACTTTTAATTGTCTCGATGTCTTGAAAAAGTTTAAGAAAACAGTTGCGAAACTGTTTAGATGAATGACACAATGCCATATCATGTAGCTGTTTTGGTAATTCAAGTTCAGGTGCACTTGTTCTTCAGAAGCCGTGAATGATTTTTATTCCGCGAGTCAATGGTGATATCTCACAATTATAGATTTTCAACCTTGTTTTGTTTTGTTTTTTATTCAGGGATTTGTCAAATAATCAACTTGGAAATCTCCCGCCATACATCTTCAAAAAAATTACAAAAGTAGAGATGCTGTAAGTGAGGTTTTCTGTTTTCTTTAAGAAATTGAAAATTACTTGGAAGGATTGTCTTGCAAATATCAACAAGTGGTAAATAAATCAGCTTCCTAGTTATGAAAACTTACATTTGTAAATTTTTTTTCATCAGTTAAGAGCCTTTTGTCTTATCATAATTTTTTTTTTTTAAGAGAGAGAGAGAGAAGCTTAAAACTTTTTGCCTTGGAGATGTTTCACCCTGAATTTTGAACATCAAAATTGGCTGCTAATTCACTAAAAATATTCCCTGTAGTAGATTTAGAAGAAAGCTTCAAGCAGAGTTGAGGATATCAATCCACGGTTACATGTGCGTCTTTCAGTCTAAACTTTGCACGGTGCTTTCTTCAGAAAAATGGACTTTAACAAGCTGCAACCTTGTGTACCTTTTATTTAAGACTAATCCATTACTGAAACAAATGCATTGTGTCAACATAACAAGCAAAATGCTGACTCATTAGTTATTAACCCTAACAGTGACCAGCATCTAGTTTTTTCTTACAATATTAACCCCAAATTAAATACATTAGAGCAGAAACTCTGCCTCTAAAATAGAAGTCAGATAAAAAAAAATGCGTTTATAAAGTTTTGTATGTAATATATCAGTGAATACCAAGTGATATCAGTGACAACAGTACTTCTGCATTCCGACACGTTTAAAAATGAGTGTTAACAATCGAGTTTATCCACAGGGAGCCCGGCTTACAGATATCGTATATAATGCTCTACAGTACAGAATAGGCACCACAAACAGGTCTTCAAGGAAACATTTCATTGTTCTTGTTGAAAACACACTCAATTAGCTCTACGAATGGCTGGGAGTTGCATTTCTTGGCAAAGCACTTGCGTGACAATAATAACATGCGATCGCGAATGCAAAGAAGAAACTGTTTTAAATCGAAAGAAATTCGTGAAGTTTTTTCAACGGGATCATGCAAATTATATATGAAAAAGCCCAGGAAGGCCTGAAGATTTTCAAACTTCCTAGGGAAATCTTGAACATTGTGTTACTTTTTAATCAGAGACGAATTGAG